CGAAAGGAAGACTTCAAAACCAATGTTCATTTGAAGAATCTGGTTTCCATTGCCAGACAAGCCAGCATCCAGCACTCCCAGAACTCTGAGGAGGGCATGTGTGGCACTCACAAGGAGACCAGGAAGATATTCTGTGAAGAAGACAAGAGCCTGCTCTGTGTGCTCTGCTCTGACCCTCAGGAGCATGCTGGTCACAGACACTATGCCACTGACATAGCTGCAGAGAATAGCAGGGTAAGTGAGACTGAGACCCCCTGAGTAGTCACGAACAATAAGCTGTTAATGAAGAACATCCTGATGATGGTGAATGCATTCTGCATTGAACGTCAGGAACGGTTCCAGGTAACACCAAGGAAATCAAAATCAACATTTGTGCTTACTGGTGTGCATCAACACCTCCACATCACATGACAGAGGGGAGCACCTGTGTACAATTCTTTGTTCTGCGTGTTAATTCCAGCATTCAGTTAACATGAAACCAGGAAGCAGCAGTAGCAGCTCAAGGAGCAGGATTCCTGAGACACCCACACATGGGAAGAGGGATTCAATCCCTGATTTCCAGCTGCTGCCCAATGAGGCCCTGTCTGTTTCTGGGCACCTGGGGTTTATAGCAATGCATATGAGCAGTCTTTTCCTCTCTGGGTCTGAAATAAATGTGACTATTTAAACAACTGAATATGCTTTCCCAAGAGGCTGGGAGAATGATGAACTCAATGCTCATTAAAATTTTGATTCAACATAATAGTGGTGGTCATTTTGGCAGAAAGAACTCAGGATGAGAGATTGCATCGGCTACTGAGGGTGGTTCCTGAAGCTGCTTTGGAGAATCATATTTACTAAACCTGCAAATAAACAAGATCATGAGCATTGGAATTGATGGGGACAAAACATCAGCAGATTAAAATTGAGTTTCAGGGAACGAAACACATTAAATGGTAAGCATGCATGTTATTGAAAATCATTTTCCTATGATCACATTATATTTTGGCATCTAAATTATGAAATATTACAAAATGCATAATTTAAAGGCACTGAGGGAAATGATAGGTTCCTTCTACATCTAAGGATATACTTTTATCTCAAAATTCTTAGTTGTCTCCATCATTTCTGGGTCTCATATCTAAACCTCTCAGGTTCCCTGTTGCTCAAATTCAGGTCTTTTACAGGAGACGCTGGTGAAGCAAATGAGATCATTTTGGAAACAGATGCAAGAAAACCAGAGGAACCTGAATGAGGAGAGCACAATACTCTCTGAGTGGACGGTGAGTAGGAGACCGTGTTTCCTTCTCAGCAGCCCGAGACAGACCTGATAGACAGTGGACGTTCATCAACAGAGCCACAACACTCGGGTTCACAGGGAAGATTTTCTGATAATTGTTTGCATGGAATATGATGCTAAGAGTAGCGTGATGTTTAGAGAGAAAGGTGCAGCCTGACTCAGAAAGGTTTCACATGATAATTTTAACTTGTCCAAGCATCTGAAGATTGCCAGTGATAATTCATTGACAAATTCTAAATACAAAGAAGTCACATGAAGTCTTTTGGGCTTGAGAGATCATCTTTTAAAAGACATTAGCACAGAAATGTTCTCTCAAGGTCTTTCAAGAACTGCAAGTGGATGAAAATGGTTTGAGCACGAATGGGATAGCCTCATTGTCCCATTCCTAATGAGTAGAGAATGAGTGAAAGCAAAGAGAATAATGTGTGGTTTGTGAGAAACTTACTGTAGCAGGCTATATGCATGTCTTATTGTCAGAGGGTGTGAGTCCAAGTGAATGGGAGAGGCTGAAGTGTAAACAGATGGAGTGACCTAGGAAATCTGTGTCCCCACATTGACATGTGTCTTGGCTTTTCACGGAGAGAATCCGCATCCTCTTTGAAACCCCTGTCTTATCCAAGGGTCACTCCATGAAGATCAAAGAGCCTCCAGAAAGCTGACTGTTTCTATTTCCAAAAGCGAGACACACTTGGAACAGGATTCTTCTGCCTGAGGCACAGATGCACTACCGGCTAATGGCACTGCAGAAACAGACTCTCCATTTCTTCCGATTGTGTTCAATTGGGCAAAAGCTACAAGCAGCAGGGCACAGGTGCAGCTTCACTAGATGTTGTTTCCTTGGGGAAGCAAATAGGCATCTGCTGGTGCGTAACTCTCACTGCTTCTCTCACTGAATTGACATAGTCATGCATTGACCCTGAGAAAGTCAAAACAAAAACCCAGTCATTTCTCCCATGTTCCCTCACAAATGTTTTTCTCATTATGTGTCTTTATCTGTCTCTTGCCCATTAATTCTACATAAACCTCATTCTTGTCAGTGCTCAAAATCCACAAGGTTTCATAACCAGTCTCCTTTCTCTTTATTAGAATCATCATCGTCATACACAACCAATATTTCTGATTCAAAATGGAGTATTTCTAACAATAAAACAATATTTCCAATACATTTTTGTATCTTTGTATATGGAAAAGTAAAGAACTTCCTGCGTGATAAGTGGCCTTAAGAATGACAGTGGGGCCTAGCACCGTGGCGCAGTGGTTAAGGTCCTCGCCTTGCACGCCCGGGATCCCATATGGGCGCTGGTTCTAATCCCGGCAGCCCTGCTTCCCTTCCAGCTCCCTGCCTGTGGCCTGGGAAAGCAGTCGAGGACGGCCCAAAGCTTTGGGACCCTGCACCCACGTGGCTCCTGGCTTTGGATCGGCATAGCATCGGCCGTTGCGCTCACTTGGGGAGTGAATCATCGGACGGAAGATCTTCCTCTCTGTCTCTCCTCTCTCTATATATCCGCCTTTCCAATTAAAAAAAAAAATAAGAATGACTGTGACAGGATTGGAATCTAACACTTAACCTCGCTATGCAGATTTTAATCATGTTATTGAAGAATATTATGTAGGAAGTACCACACGCTAGCATACTCATTCCATGATTTTTCTTCAGACATACACCTGCTGTGAAGTGTGAAGCTTAGCTGGAGTGAGCCAGCACATAAAAATCCTATCTCTCTGTCTCTTGTTCTTGCTCCATAGAATCTGCATTTCAAATAAATCAATGAAACTGTATGTGTGTGCTTATTCCTTTGGTTTAGTCATTTTTGAAAATGAGGGGGATAGTTATGACAGAGAAACATTAGTGATCCTCATAAGAACCAATGGATGTTAGGAATTCTACGAATGGGCTGCCCTCATCCTGGAAGCCTTTGAGCCTCTCCATCAGCCCAGTGATGGGCCCTTTGCTGAGTTCTGGATTCCCAGGCTGGGGCCCGTGAAGTAGTAGGGATTCAGACTCGCAGCAACAAGATGCAATGAAAGTGTGTTTGGCCAGTATAAATTATGTTCAATCAGTGATACTTCCGTGAATCTTCATCATCAACACAGGAGTACCACAAAAATTATCACATTGAAAGGATTTTTTGATACCTGAATTTGCAACTATAACACACAGTTGTACTAGACATCCCGTTAAGGTTCAGTGGAAATTACCTTTTATTTAAATGATGAATTAATTAGCTGTTGGCTGGAGTATCTTTCTGGCAAGATCCTAGTTCTGCGAATTTTCTGACCTGTTTCTCTGGAGTCAGTTCCTGCTGCACAGTGAGATTCCAGGCAGAATCCTCCCTTAGAGCGAGTCCGGCTCCGCCCAGCCCAGTCTTGGTTGGATAGGATTGGGATGGAGCTGGGAGGTCTGAGAACCACGCCCTGGACCCGCCCTCAGCTCTGCATCCATCTCCTCCTCCCTTGGACTACCACAGGCGCCTGTGGGGTAGCTGCAGGAGCAGCCCTGCGCCGCTAGGTGGAGCTGGAGGAGCTCTGGGATGCTCAGTCCTGGGACCAGAACAGGGACAGAGAAAAGCCAACTGTACATCTAGTGAAGCTGCACCTGTGCCCTGATGCTTGTAGCTTTTGCCCAACTGAACACAATCAGAAGAAATGGAGCGTCTGTTTCTGCAGGCCAAAAAAGCCAGAAGAAAGGCATGTGTGGCTGAGGCAGAAGGCTTGTCTTTCCCTGGTGATGGAAAGAGTCTGTGTTGTCAACTCTCTTTGACCTTCAAGGATGTCCCTTGGATGAGCCAGAGTATCAAACTGGATGCGGTTTTTCTCTCTGTAAGTGTGGAAGAGCCAAGGCACACATTGTGTCCTGCAGAGAGAGGCTGTGACTAGTGACCTGGAAACATTGAAAGGGTAGTAGAAGTCAAAAGGCCATCAATTGTAGTGCAAGTGCCTTAGAAATACACCTGAGCATCCAGGACTTTAAAAATAAGTGATAAAAGTAAGGGAGCCACACTTCCTGTCATGTCCTGAGCAAGGGTCCAGAGGCAGAGACGGTGATGTCAGCACCACATGAGCTCAGGCTACAGAGGTGTCCATCGCTGGCTCCCTCCTTCTTTCAGAGCAGAGGATGGAAACCCTGGACTGAAATCAGGATGCTTAGGAAAACCACATGAGGAGGAAGAGCTGAGCTAGAGACGAGAAGGTCACTGGGAAGAGGACCATGAGGTTGAGGAAGAAGCTCAGAAGAGGCTTGATTAGTTTCTGGCAGGGAAGAGGGAAGGTGGGAGGTGCAGCTTCTCTTCCCCAGGACAGAGCACCTGTGAGGGATGCTGACGCTTCCGTGTTTCCAAGAGTCAGCAGCATAGAGGACACTACCAGTGGCCACCGTATCCTTCCTCATGCCTGCCTGCATGCCTTCACCAGGGTTTAGGTGTGTGGTCCTCAACCGCAAGCCTCGAAGGCCTGCAACATCTGCATGAGCACAGGAGCTGCTTAGGGAAGCAAATAAATGATTGTTCTGCTGTTCTCTGCTATCACCAAGAGGTCCATATGCAGCCTCCACTAACTGCCAGTTCTTGCCACCCACTGCTCATTCTAAGTCTCATTATTAAAATCTAAGCTGTGAAGTATATTGCAGATTTTTGACAGCAGAAATTATTATTGTGTGGGTGAGATAATTCTTTACTGTGGGGGGGCTCTCTGATTCTTGTATGATGTTAGCAGAAGGCCTGATCTATGCACAGTAGTTGAACTTAGTAACAACAAAACCTATTTCCAAAATAGAGGAGTAGATTTCAGAAGTTGCAAATTTAGGCATTGCTATCTGATTCTTCCATTTTAGGTGTCAATAAAACACAGTAACACAAAAGATTGTCATTAGACTTATTTATTACAATACAAGTGTAGCAGCAAATCAATAACATTGTGAAAGGAAACACAAACCAATTAGCCATACCCTAGAGAATGGTTTCATAGGAATAACTACCATTTCATACATATACTGCACAGAATATATCACACATATATAAGATAAGTGAATGAGGGGCAAATGCCATCATCCAAGTTCTGTTCTTCCCAGAGGTGGAGTAAGAGACCCAAAGACACGTCAGCCATGAAGTGACATTCCTCTGACATCCACAAGCCTCCTCCGGCTCCAATGATTAGCAGGTTAAGCTGAGTCACACTGTCACATCCCAGCATGATCCCTCCTCACGTGTGGCCGAGTGAAAATACAAGGCCTGACAGGGAAATTAAGCGAGCCATCAGGGGACTTCCATATGAGAGAGCTTCTAGAAATATCCACAAAGCTCACACTTCCCCTCTCAAAATCAAGGAACACACCAACTCTGCTCATAGGTTTCTCAACAAAGTGAGCTATCACAGGGGAAATGGTTGGGAGTTTGAAGTGTCTCGCCTCCTTCATACAAACAAGAAGAAATGAGCCCTCAGAATGCATCAGTGTGCCCTTGTTCCTGAGGCCAGGATCCTTGCAGACCCCTAGAATGCAGTCGCAAGAGTCATTCACGTCCAGCTCCCAGTAGTGTTTTCCACAGGAGAAGTTCTGCATTGCCCAGGCAGCAGAATGGCCATATCTTTCCGAGTTTTGCCTTGAATCTTGATGGTCCTGTCCTAACATGAGCCTTCTCATATGGAGCATCAGCACGAACTGATTGGTGATACCATAATTGAAGGAAATTTCCACTGTTGAAAGAAGAGGAGAGTTCAGTCAGTCTTAAGACGTACTCCAAGTTAAGAATATACATAGAGAATTATCAATGGCGATCATTATCAAGAATTTCATTCTATCCCACTCTAACAAGGAAATGTGATTAATAATAAGGTATAAATACACCTTCTGAGAAATGGATTCCCTCTAAGAACATTCTGCCTGTGTACCTTGATGCAAGTGCTCACTAGTCTTCCTTCTAATAAATGACCCTCCAGGTTGAGGTCCACTGTGGCGTTCTTCATATTGCCTAAGCAGCAACAACTGAGTTTAGTATTGTTGTCCTTGGAAGGGTGTTCTATGACTATTCACTTTGTTCCTTCATATATTGTTATTATGTTCAGACTCACATATGTTGCAAATGCAATTGACAAGCAAGAATAAAGTCAATATTTTTCAATATGAAGTTAATGATCCAATGACAAAACTACTAATGCATTTTAGACTGACACACTTTTGGCTGACTTTCCATTAGTTTGACTTTCTAACAATGAACAACATCTGTGGTCATCCTTGACTCAATGCACCCTCTTGAGTTTCTTTCTTGATAAGAGAAAATGTTGTTATGGTGGCTGCTTAATGTTTAGTAGTACTGAGCTGCACTCATTGTGCCTTCTGTTAGGATCCTGATGGCCACATCACCATATGTAATTACAAATGCCTATTACATTTCTATTCTCCTCTCTGGATGAAGTCCTAAGAGGGGAAGATTGGTGAGAGATGATGTTAGTGAGCTGACCCTCACCTTGGAACTGCCTGAGCCAGTCTATCAGGCCGGTTATGGACTGGGCCCTGAGCTCTGGGTGCACAGGCTGGGGCATCTGTTGCTGCAATGACTCATACCTGCAAGAAAGAGAAGATACTGTTGTTTCAGGTAGCAAAACCTCCATCTGAACTTTTAACAAGTATAATCGCTGCACTGACAGTTTGTATTCTGGTACAGTGCTGTTCATCCACACTCATGAGGTAAGATTGTGCCATTCCCAGGAGGTTATGTTTGTCTGTATTTCCAACTTCCCTCATTGCTGAGCTGGAACATCTATTTAAACTATATCTACAACACAATCTTCTGCATTTCATTGTGATTGAAATTTGAATTCTAAATGTTTGGGTACTTTCTTTCTAGAAAGGTCTACAGGTCTCTAAGCCACAAACAAAGAAAGCTTATTTTTGACAAAAGAAGTCACATCAGCCAAACAAATAAGTTGGAGTAGTTTTGCTAATGTTGTGCTTCCTGTGTTAGTAACTGCTTGCTCACTCACATAATGCTGCAGTGGCCCCAATTTTTACTGAAGGTGAAACATACCTTTTCAGTAGTCCTCCCAATTTCTGTAATGAAAGAAAGAATGCTTAGATGTCATTAGATAAAGGCTGTTCTGCCTATCCAGGCATTGATTCTCACGAATTAACAACCATATTTATTCACCCCAATCTCCCTGTTGGTCATTTCCCCTTTGATCCCTTAATAGAACCCCCTCCCGATATATCCACACAACCAAATTATAATTAAGTTAACTCAGCAGTTAGGATAAACACTTGGGTAGTGAGTGCATTGCTGTGAATCCCTGGCTGGTTGCAAGTGTCTTCCTAGTTTGAGCCCAAATGGTAACACCCTTCAGCTTAAGGGCAACTTGGAACAGCATTCAATAAGAAAGGGAAAATGTTGGTCCTTTACAAACGTCTTTGAAGTGCACAATGGAGGAAGCTACAGACCCTTTGTGAGTAAACCATTTTTCTGTGTCCAGAGAATGAGTTGTAAAAGGCCACTTTCAAAAGGCAACGTTTTCTTTGGACATAGGACTGTTTCTGAAGGCCTATAGTACTGTACTAATATGGGGGAAAGAGTGGAGGTAGGAGACTTGGAGATGGGGTGAGGGAAATCCAGAACCTATGCATTTGAAACATGCAAAAAAAAAGAGGCAAATTTTACAAGGAAATGTTCTTTGTGGAATAGAATGACAGAATCTCATAGAACTGGATTGTTCAGAAAAAGATTGGTTATTGGGTCTCTGTTTTTCTGGCTGAGTAATTTTGAACCATCAGCATAAACTAGGCTAATAAATGTTATGTGTATTCTGACATACACTTTGTTTATCACTTACGCTATGCAATTTTACATACAAAAATGAATAATGGACTCAAAGATAAGGCACAGCACACTTCATTTCTTACCTGGAGCAGCTCCATGTCTGGTTGATGGTACACTTTCATCAGTTCTTCATATATTTGTCTTAGCTTTTTCTTCTTTAGAACCATTTTGGCTTTGCTTTTCTTAAGTTTTTGGATAATGCTGTTCTCTTGTTTTTGAAGTGTGTCCATGTGTTGTTTTTCATCCTGATGCAGGCCTGGATGTAGCATCTCATAAGACGCCTTGATATTCTCTCTCTGCCGAGACACATACAGCTATGGGGACACACAGATTTCCTAGGTCACATATCCAGGCCAACTTCCTCTCTTTCCCCTTCAGCTTCTCCGATTCACTTGGACTCATACCTTCTGACAATAAGCTGCTATCCTCTGACTCTCAGAAGCCAGATATTTTTCTCTTTGCTTTCACTCATTCTTACGCATTATGAACTGGACAATGAGCCCAACCCATTCTTGCTCAAACCATTTTCATCCACTTGCAGTTCTTGAAAGACCTTGAGAGAACATTTCTATGCTAGTGTCTTTTAAAAGATAATCTCTCAAGCCCAAAAGACTTCATGTGACTTCTTTGTATTTAGAATTTGTCAATGAATCATCACTGGCAACCTTCAGATGATTGGACAAGTTAAAATTATCATGTGAAACCTTTCTGAGTCAGGCCGCACCTTTCTCTCTAAACATCACGCTACACTTATCATCATATTCCATGAAAACAATTATCAGAAAATCTTCCCTGTGAACCCGAGTGTTGTCACTCTGTTGATGAACGTCCACTGTCTATCAGGTCTGTCTCGGGCTGCTGAGAAGGAAACACGGTCTCCTACTCACCGTCCACTCAGAGAGTATTGTGCTCTCCTCATTCAGGTTCATCTGGTTTTCTTGCATCTGTTTCCAAAATGATCTCATTTGCTTCACCAGCATCTCCTGAAAAAGACCTGAATTTGAGCAATAGGGAAGCTTGAGAGGTTTAGATATGGGACCCAGAAGTGATGGAGACAACTAAGAATTTTGAGATAAAAGCATATCCCTACATGCAGAAGCTGCCTATTTCTATCAGTGCCATTACAATCATGCATTTTGGAATGCTTTCTACTTTAGATGCCAAAATGTAAACTGACCATGTTCATGGGGAAATTAATTTAAGCAACGAGCGTGTTTGAGATTGAATATATATGTCAGCTTTGCAACAGAATTTGGATGTGCTGATGTTCTTTCTCCATCAATTCTAGCACAAATTATCCTGTTCATTGCAGTTTTAGTAAATAGTATCACTACTACATGTTAAGGAACTGGCCTGGTAGCCAGATACTCTTTCTGATCTTGAGTACTTTCTACCAACACTTGTATGTTGAGTCAAAACCTTTAAATGAGCATTATGTTCATCATTCACCCAGCCCTCTTGGGGAAGCAGACTCAGTTGTTTAGAAGATTATCTCTGTTTCAAACCCAGAGAAGAAAAGAGTGCTTATACGCATCTCTATTAATCCCATCTGTCCAGAAACTGGCAGGGGGATGTGTCCCAGAAGCTGGAAACCAGGCACTGATTTTCCGTTTCTATCTGGGTGTCTCAGGAATCCTGCTCCTTGAGCTGCTACTGCTGCTTCCTGGTTTCATGTTAACTGAATGCTGGAATTAAGAGGCAGAACAAAGAATTGTACACAGGTGCTCCCCTCTGTCATGTGATGTGGAGGTGTTGATGCACACCAGTAAGCACAAATGTTGATTTTGATTTCCTTGGTGTTACCTGGAACAGTTCCTGACGTTCAATGCAGAATGCATTCATCATCATCAGGATGTTCTTCATCAACAGCTTGAGCCTATCATCCTCCACTACTCAGGGGTCTCAGTCTCACTTACCCTGCTATTCTCTGCAGCTATGTCAATGGCACAGTGTCTGTGACCAGCATGCTCCTGAGGGTCAGAGCAGAGCACACAGAGCAGGCTCTTGTCTTCTTCACCGAATATCTTCCTGGTCTCCTTGTGGGTGCCACACATGTCCTCCTCAGAGTTCTGGGAGTCCTGGATGCTGACTTGTCTGGCAATGGAAACCAGATTCTTCAAATGAACATTGGTTGTGAAGTCTTCCTTTTGTGGTGGTTCTCTGCACACTGGGTATTGGACAGGCAATTTGGCTTCTCCCCATGCCAGGCAGACACAGGGCCTGCAAAAGCTATGCCCACAGTGTATGGTGACTGGGTCCGTCATGTAGTTGAGGCAGATGGCACAAGAGAGTTCTTTCTGGAACTTGTGTAGGATGTCCAAGTTCAGTTTCCTAAAGGAAAAAACATGAGATATGATTCTTGTACTCTGCCATAAAGACCAAAGCATAGATACACTCACAGGTCAACTCAGTCATCATCTTATGTCCTGTCCAAGGCTTTCATTGTTGCATATGCCAGAGTACCTTCCAATGCACAGGGAGTGCTTTCAGGTCTGTGAAAGGGTTGATGTTGCCTAGCACTGGCACTGTGCGTCACAGCCTTGAACTCTGGGTTAAAAAAGGTACTTCGTTTATTGATGGGGACTTTCCTCCTAATATCCTGAGTTTTGATAGAGTGATCAAATGTTCAGTTTGCAGGTTAGATTCTAAATTCAATCAAAATTAGTCAAGGTCCATTGTCAATGTTAGGAGAGTAAAGGGTTAGGAACTGAGGGTCATTTCTTGTTGTTCTTTCACCTAATTGTTGGAACTTTTTACCTTTGTGATAATTTCAAATTTCATAATCTATATTCTCATGCAGTAAAACCATTTCTGAATACTTGAGTGAATGATTTAACTAAATATTTGGTTCCTATTTCAGACAGGATCTACTAACATGTTTGCAGCAACGTGTTGAGTTTTTTTTTTTTTTGCTGTTTTTTAATTGAATGATTGATTTCAATACTGATTAGAATGAAATATATGGAGAAAGAGAGACAGAGAGGGAGGAAAGCAAGAGAGAAAGTGAGGGAGAAATAGAAGGAGCATATTTCGCCTGCTGGTTTACTTCTCAGATTGTTTGCAATACCTGAGACTAGTTCAGATCAAAGCCAGGAGCCTGGATGTTCTACTAGGACTCCTCAATCTACTGCTTTTTTTCCCTAGTTTATTGTCAGGGAGCTGGATTGCTGCGGAGCAGTTGAAAATCCAACTAAACATATTACTTGTTGATATTGTAAATATACTAATATATTCGTGTGCATATTTAAGTTTCTTTGTTTCTTTGTTTTTATAAAAGCTGACTTACAGAATGGAGAGGCAGAGAGAATAATCTTCCATCTGCTGGTTCTCCCCACACATGGTCACAACCATAACAGGTGCTGTGATCCAAAGCCAGGATGCAGGACATTCTTCCAGGTCTCTTATTTCATTATGGGGATGCAAATTTTTGGGCTATACTCCACTGTTTTCCCATGCGACTTGCAGGGAGCTAGATGGATATTGGAGACACCACAGCACCATCCGGTGTCATGAGGGATACTGGCATTTGTGGGAGGGGGATTAGCTACTTGAGCCATAGTGTCATCCCATGATAGAAATAAATAGATTCATAAAGGCAAAGATATAGAGAGGGATATGCTGTAACAAGTAGGACTGACCCATATGCAAGCCAGAAGTCAGGAACGTTCTTTAGCCTTCCATGTGGATCCTGGAGCTTAGCATTGGACCATCATCCTCTGTTTTCTCAGTCACATTGCATGGAGCTGCATCAGAAGTGGCATCACTGGTATACCAATATAGGATGCTGCTGTTATAGCAACATATTTACCTGCTGTTTCACAAGTTTGGCCTCTGATATTTCTAAAACTATAATCATCATTTAGTGATCACGAAAAGATGGATTTGCCTAGGGCCCAGTGAGATAGCCTCGTGGCTAAATTGTAGCCCTGCATCCACCAGAATAACATACAGGCACCAGTTCATATTCTGGCTGCTCTACTTCCCTTCCCGTTCCCTTAGTTTTACCTGGAAAATCAGTTGAGGGTGAACCAAAACCTTGGGACCCTGAAACCCATCAGGGAGACCCGGAAAAGCTCCTTGCTCATGGGATTGTGTCACCTCAGTTCCTCCCATGGGTCTACTTGGGGTCTGCCAATCATCACTCGTCAGACATAGAAAATCGGGTCTACCCATCTCCTGAAATCCTTGAGCTACAGATTCATGGAACTAAAGCACAGAAAGATGCTGTTGTGTCTCTGTCACATCAAGTATCCCCAGAGCATCATTAGCATCACCTAGGTTAGGATTATTATCATCATGGATATACACAAATTTGTGGTTGAAAGAAAGGAATTCACAGAATTTTCCTGTAGATAACCTACTGCGTAGGTCAATTCTATGACAAACATATCTTCTTACAGTCATTTGTTTATTAAGTTTAGTATAGGAAATTCAGTTCATTCCCAGCAGCGTGGCCTAGTGGCCAATGTCCTTGTCCTGAATGCGCCGAGTTCCCATATGGGCGCCATTCTAATCCTGGCAGCTCCACTTTTTTTCCAGCTTCCTGCTTATGACCTGGGAAAACCATTGCGGCTGGCCCAAAGCTGTGGGACCCTGCAACCACTTGCGAAACCCGGAAGAGGTTCCTGGTTCCCGGCTTCAGTTTTGCTCAGAACCGGCCCTTGTGCTCACTTGGGAGTGAATCATTGGATGGAGGATCTTCCTCTCTGGCTTTCCACGTCTATGTATATCTGACTTTATAGTAAAAAACAATTAAAAAAAAAAAAGACAGACATTCATTCAGTTTAATCCAGTTGCTTTCAATGACATAGCCTGGAAGGGTGTTAATGGCCCCTCCCTTAAGCCAATTCTCTTCTCACCCTGTCTATCATGGCCCCCTGGGGAGTCAACTAGTAGACAGCAGATGTTTGCAGTTTTCTCTTTCTCTGTGTACATCAAAAATATTTTAAAAAATTAACCAATTCAAAAGAAAAAGGAGAATCTGGATTTAATCTCACTCAGCTTCCAGCTGAACTTCCTGCTGAGCAGCATGCAGGGACCCAAAATAGAATAGCTTCGGTTCTGCTCAGTCTTTTGGATACCAGAGAAGTTAATGGTCTCCAAGTTTCAACCTTCCCCAACTCTGGCTGAGAAAGCCATGGGAGGAATTGAATTTCACTATGTCTAGTTGTGTTACTTTTACTCAGACATTTTTAACTCTGTTTTAAATGCAATGTACACTGAAAATAAATTGCACAAAAACATCAAATCAAATTGTTAAATATTTATCAATTTATTTCAGTGGCAGAGTCATGCAGATAGAAGAGACAAGAAAGGATAGAGATCTGAAATTGGCTGGTCAGCACTTTTCTCAGTGGGAATATAACCTGGATGGATCCCATGTCCCTGAATGTTAAAGAAATAACTCTAATTGATCTCTCAGTGTACACAACAGCCTGTGAAAACAGAAGAGGCATGAAGTTGATAGAGTGAAAGTAAACAGCAAAACTGGTGTGTATAAAATATGCAAAAAGTAGAAAAGCACACATTAGATAAAAAGTGATCAATGAATCCTCTACCAATGTTATGAATTAAAAGTGCAATTAATGGTAACCACATCAACCTGGGCAATCTGGTTGAGAACTGGATGCAGTGTGGAATGAGATGACCCAGCAAGCTCTGAGCAATATGGCAGAGACAATATCAATCCTTATCATTTCTTCATTAGGAAAGAATTATTTCATTATTTTGCAAGGCTGAGTGGCACACAGAAAGGAATTCATAGACAGACATACAGACAGAGGCTCTTCCATGTGGGGTCCATTCGCAAATGACCTGAAGAGTTAGGGCGTAGGTCAGGCTGAAACCAGGATTCTGGCAATCCACTCAGATTTCCAACAGGGGTGCCAAGGGCTGCACTGGCTGGATCCTTGTCTGCTGCTTTTCCAGATGTATTCTTTTCAGATCTCTGTGAAAATTTCCTCTGGAAACATCTGTAGCAGCTCTACAACCCCATTTTCCTCAACAAACCTCATCTACATGTGTCCATCAGTAAGCCCAACCCGTGTTTACTGTACCTTCTAATTCCAATCACCTGTTCAAACTTGTCTCTGTAATCCCATCATGCACTTCTGATTCCTGCTGACATCAGAGGCTCCCATGATTGGGTGGGTGTGGCTTAAGGGCAGGTGAACCATATAAAAGCAGACTTTCTCAGGGCCTTCTCAGCCAACAGCCACTGTCTTCACAGGAAGCAGCCCCGCGTCACAGACCTGAAGGAGACTGTGATCACTGACCTTCGTGAGCAAAGCTGAACCTCGCAGAGGTGGGACCACTGATAGCAGACACAGGTGAGCATGGAATTTAGGGGAAGGCCCTCCTGCACGTTTTGTTTTACAAGCCTATTTTAAGCTTAGCGGTCAGTTCATACTGGTCTCATTTGAGCAAACAAGTGGCATTCCCACTAGCTTAAACTAATAGTCAGGCTTATGTATTGGGTCAGCTGACTCAACCTCTGCCTGCAGGTGCTATGGTCCCATGTGGGTGCAGATTTTGTGTTGCATGTGATCTAGTTCAGTGCTGCTCCCTGCTTATGCTTAGGAGACAGGTGGAGGATGGCCTGGTGCCTACGTGATCCACAGCATCTTTGTGGTATCCAGAAGATAATTGCACCTGGCTTTAGAGTGACATGACCTCAACCTTGTTGCTCATGTAAGTTTTTCAAATTTTTATTTGGTTAAGAATTAGTTTGTTTTGGGCCTGGCGCCGTGGCACAGTGGTTAAGGTCCTCACCTTGCACGCCCGGGATCCTATATGGGCATGGGTTCTATCCCGGCGGCTCCGCTTCCCATCCAGCTCCCTGCCTGTGACCCGGAAAAGCAGTCAAGGACATCCCAAGGCTTTGGGTTCTGTACCCGCGTGGGAGACCCGGAAGAGGCTCCTGGCTTCGGATAGGCATAGTATCGGCCCGTTGCACTCACTTGGGGAGTGAATCATCGGACGGAAGATCTTCCTCTCTGTCTCTCCTCTCTGTATATCTGCCTTTCCTATAAAAAAAAATAATAAAAATAAATCTTTAAAAAAAGATTTATTTATTTTTGTTGCAAAGTCATATATATTTGATCTTGCTAAATTGCTAGAGCTGAGGCAGTCAGAAGCCAAGAGGCCTGACCCTTTTCCGAGTCTCCCACACAGGTGCAGGGATCAAGACTTGGGTTGCCTCCAAATGCTCTCCCAGCCACAGGCAGAGAACAGGTTGGGAAGCAGGATCACTGGGATTAGAGCAGGTGTCCACCTGGGATCCTGACTGGCTCAAGGAGAGGACTTTAGACAATAGGCCTCCTTGCTGGCTCTCCCAAGGAAATTTGTAACGCACTTGAAACAAAGCTGATACTTGCCTTATTTTCTTATCTATTGGTTTATAGACACAATTGTCTGTACTTCTTAAATTGAGGTTTGTATGGTGCTGACTTAATAATGAGGATAACCAGAGCCTAAGCAGGACAGAGCTGCACACTCATCTTTGCTTTGTTGCCTCAGGAAAGAATTACCATATTTTTCTCCAATTTTACAGTAGTTTCTGAGAAACATGGATCCATTCATGTTGCAAGAGTTCCAGAACAATGTCACATGCAGCATTTGCTGCCAGTATTTCCTCGATCCTGTCACAATGGAGTGTGGCCACAGCTTTTGCCGACCCTGCATCTACCTGAGCTGGGAAGAAGGCTCATCGCCACTCTGCTGCCCAGAGTGTAGGCAGAAGTCAGAGAAGACAAACTTCAAAACCAACATAAGACTTCAGAAACTGGCCACTGCTGCCAGGATGGACAGAATGAGGCAGGTCCCCAGCTCACATGGGCAGGTCTGTGGTGCACACAGTGACGCCACAGGACTACTGGGTGACTTGGATGAGAACCTATGCTGTGAGTCTGCCTCTGAATCTTCCAAAGCCAACGGACATGGCCACAGCCAGCTGCAGTTTGCTGCTGAGGAATCCAGGGTGAGTGATATCTGAACGGCTGGGTAGGATCTCAGAGATCTCAAGTCGGAGAGAAAAATGTGGACTTAGGCTCATGGGTAGGTGAGAAAGACATTGTAGAGGTGGTCATTTGTTCACCTTATATTCCGAGAGGCTAGTATGTCCCTCAGTGCTGTGGCGCTGGTTGATCAATTCTCAGAGTTGGGGGGTTTTGTCTTGAAGAAGAGCCAACTTGGAAACAGTGTCCATTCACCCTCAGTCAGTCAGTGTCGATACAGCCAGTGGTCTTCGACAGTGCCTGCTTCAAGGCCAAGTCACACACACACACAGTGTTCTCTGCAAATGTGGTATACTGCCTTCAGGCTGTCTTCAGACAGTCCATTGTAATCTTCTGTCATGTGCGTTGTCCTAGATATCAGATGCAAAACTGGTCACTGTTTGACCATATGAAGACTTATTCTATTTTGAAAACAGTAGCAAAACAATAAAAAGGAAAGGAATTGAAAAGCAAGGCAAGGCAAGGCAAGGCAAGGCAATGCAATCAAGGCAAGGAAAGAAAAGTAAAGAAAAGGAAAGCAAACGGAAATTAAGAAAATCCCGAGCCTCTTCCAAGACCCATACATCAGGGAAGGAAATAGACACTATCTCACCTCATTGTTTCTTAACCCTGAAATTATTTTACAGGGAACAATTCTAAAGGAAATGAATGCTTTATGGGAACTGATGCAGGAAATGAAAATCCGTGTGCCCAAGCAAATAAGGAAGAAGTATTCATTTATGGTAAGAATGAAAAGATTGGATACAATGGACATAACACCTTACACCTTTGAGCAATTTCCACTTCCTCTTCAAGGATAGTGATTTCCTCACACCCAAAGCAGAGTGTTCCAACGACAACTCTCTCACTAGCTGAAAGAGCTGGTGAGAAGGATACTAGAGGAAATCATCATCCCAGCTATTCCTGGTCCAACTTAGAAGTGTTACACAATTCTTCTGAGACACACAAGTACTAAAATACCAAAAGAGAAATACATAGTACCAGTGAGGAAAATAGAATAATTGCACAAATATCTGTGTGCTGTGTAATGTTTACTCATTGAAGAGACAAAAACAGACATAAAGGCCAGGAAGCAAAAGGTATAGAAATGAATAGAATTAGTGATGCAAGTAGAACATTGATGAGGAAGAGGGTGAGAGAAGAGATGGAGAGTGAGGCAGATATCTAGAGAGAGACCCTGAGTTCCTTCTGGAGTATATTTGAAGAGAAAAGACTAGAAGTGTGCAGAGGCATTCGTAGCACCCCACAACACCTAAGAAATGGTGTACCAACTCAGCATAAAATTGGTAAAGTATTCCTTGAGAGTTCTTTTTCAGTATTTGAAGATACATGTGACAGAGAGGGAGAAATACAAACAGATATGTTCCATGTGCTGTTTCTCTTCCCAAGTGGCAGGAAGAGCCATGGCAATGATAGGCTGAATGAGGCAGCCTGGCCCTGCACCTGCAGCCCTCATGTGAGCCATCAAAGGCACAAGCCCTTAGGCCATCCATGCTGCCTTAGCACATTAGAATGAGCAAGAGGTGAAGCAGAGAGGCTGCAGCAGGTGCTCCTAGGGAAGGTAGGGTCAACTCAGCTAATGATATGAGATGTTTCAAACTCCTGTTAAGTGTGAAGCTATGCAATTCTCATGAGCTAATATCTCTCTACAGGAGTATGTGTCCCAAAGGAAGAAGATGATCAAGGCACAGTATCAGAAGATGCATATGCTTCTTAATGAGGAAGAAGAGCTGCACCTGCAGAGACTGCACAGCGAAGCACGGGAGCTTTGGCAGCAGCTCCAGGACCGTGAATCAAGCATGACCCAACACATAGATTGCGTGAAAGAAAAATACAAAGAGCTGGTTGAGATGTGCCACAAGCCTGACACGGAGTTACTGCAGGTGAGCAGGGAAGGGCCACGTTCAGAGACATGTGTGCTTCTCTGAGCAGGTGGTCAGGACACTAAAATGTTAACTGCACCTATAGCTACTCGCAGCTGCTTGACACGTGTGTAATGACTCAAAGATTTGATTGCCTGAACACTTAAGTCTGCATGGGAAGAAAATCTTTTCTGCATCTTTGTCCTAATACATCGGATAAAATTCTCTTCTTTATAATCAAAAGTGCTGCTCCCAGAAAAATGTTATCCAGAAATGTTGTGATGACAGTGTTACATGTTACTTATCCATTGTGAAAATCAGCAAGCTTCCTGTGTTGAGCAGGATCAGCCATCGAAACGTGAAAGGATTAGGAATGCATTTTCTCTAAGAAAACTGCAGCCAGCACTCGAGAATATACTGATATTAAAAGATTAATTTGCACGACCCTGGACAATGCTATAAATTTGTAATTGCCTAACTTGAAAAGCATCCACACAGAACTTGGAGGCTTTGCCCTTTGCTTGGGCAGGATCAGTCACCCATTGCAATGCACTCTGCTTTTCAGACAGCTCTCTTCTCTGCTTAGCACTGTAGTCAGAAGTGCTCAGCTCTCTCTAGGAATGATAGCTGGGACTTGATCTTCAGCCTACATCCTGTGGCATCTCTTCACAGCTTCATGCTGAGGTCCACCTATTTTGGGCTCACACTGGAATTCCTTCATGTGGTAGCTCAGGTTCTGTTACTTGCAAATATCGATAATTCTTTGTAATTAAAGCAAACCACATTCACAAAAATGATGAGTTTTCCACAAAAGTTCAATGAAAAAGTTCTCTGAATTAACTGCTTTTTTGTCTTTTTTTTTTTTCCTTTCAGAATGTGAAGACAGAATTGGAAAGGTGAGTGTAGAGCAACCATCTCTGATGGGTGAGAAATTGTGTCCCTGATGATGAGTCAGGTGTTTGTAATTTGCTCTTTTAACACAGTTCTGTCAGTCTGTGTCCCCATTTAGTGGAGCAGGGGTTCTCAGCACTTTTCTGCTTGGTTTAAGTAAGTTTAGAAGTGACTGACTTCAAATGTGGAATGTATGCTTCTGCTTTCTGGAGTCTGCTTCACCCTGTCTGTCCTCTCTGCTCCTTCTGCTACTTCAGTATCTCAAGAAACCAAGTGGTGGGAAAGTAATATGAGCACAGGAAAGAGGAGGATTCCTCAGGCTGGGAAGAGAAGGGAGGCTTTGCTCTTGGAAGTAGCAGTGAGCATGCCTTGCTCTCTCCTAGAATTTCCCATTTTCAGGCAGGATCAGGGGGATCCTCTGACTCAGCTTCCCCAGGACCAGGGCTGCCAGGCTGGAATTGCTTTTCCCTGTGTGGCAGACAAGCCCCAAGCTTCCTGGCTCGGAGGATGTTTCACTGATGTGCTGTTGGGGATGACTATTGTTAGATTGCCCATAGATTATTGCCTGTGATTTAGGCTCTATAAGTTTGCCAGAACTTGGGTGCCAGTGCTTTAGCCTAGTTACTAAGACCTTGCCTTGAACGCGTGGGGATTCCATAGGGGAGCTGGTCTAATCCTGGCAGCTCCACTTTCCAGCCAGCTTTCTGCTTTGACCAGGGAAGGCAGTCGACGACAGCCCAAAACCTTTGGCCCTTGCACCAGTGTGGGAAACCTGGGTGAACTTCCTGGCTCCTGACTTTGGATCGGTGCAGCACCAGGCATTGCAGCCACTTGGAGAGTGAAATAGAGGAAGCAAAATCTTCCTTTCTTCCTCTCCTCCTCTCTATACATTTGGCTTTGTACAAAAAAAAATCATTAAAAAAAAGAATAGATTGCCAGAACACAGAACTCTACTTTCACTGAAATAGAGGATACTGGTAGAATCAGCATTTTGGCTAATATTTTAGGGATACAAAACACCTTAGAAGATGAGGCCATTCGACATGATGTGGTCTTCAGAACAATGAATCATTTTTTCGCAATCAAGTAGTGAGTGAAATTTATCTTCAAAAACCCTGCTAAATTAAGACCCTGAAGCAACATTGCTTGTGTACACTGTAGAAGTCTTTGTGACTGTGTGATTGCCCTTGCCTGAAGTGTCATGTGTTGTTCCTCACAGAGCAGAGCTCATACGGAGATACAGGCCCCAGCCAGTGGACCCTGTACTGACTTCTTGGAGCATCAGTGGACTTCAACAGATGCTGAATAATTTCAGAGGTAAGCGTCAGCTTGCATAAGTCTAGCTTTCATTGCCTTCTTCAGTGTGTGGAACATGAGCCCTTTCCCATATTAGTCCATGTTGCACACCTGGAAACACAATAGGGTTTACTAAAATGTTGTCTTTGCCTTTTGCTGAATCACTTTACCACAGTGATCCAAATTGAGCTTTGTTTTTTTGTTTGTTTGTTTGTTTGTTTTGTTTTTTTTATTTTTCACATTTTATTATTATTGCTATCATTTTACAATACAATTCCATATTCCCTTATCCCCTGCCTAATTCCCCCCCCCAGTTCCTTTATATCATTACTAACATATAGTTCTTCATACTCAGTCTTATGTTCATCATTGCGGGCATGGAGAATGGCAGAGAGTCCAGAGTCCTATTGTCAAAATATAATATAAACAGTTTCACTGTAAGTCCATCTTTGTCTGGAAACAGAGATTCCAACCACACTACATCCTCACATCTGATTGTTAGTCTCCATTACTTAACTACTGTACATTCCCTTAAATGAAAAATCATGATACAAAATCAACAATAGAAAGAAAAATAGAAATTTACAATGCCATGAAGTTAAATGACATGTTACTAGATATGACAGTCTCCATTACACAACTACTGTACCTTCTCTTAACTGAAGAGCTACAAAACAAAACCAACTTCAGGGAGAAAAAAGAAATTAACAACACCAAGAAGTTAAACAACATGCTATTAAATATCTAACGTGTAGCTGAAGAAGTGAAAATCAAGAACCTTCTTGAAGAAAATGATGCCACTGTATGATCTACGAGTCATTGAATGATTTAATCAGAAGAAAGTGTTTTGAAGAGATGAAACAAACAGAAAGCAACAAAACCCCTGTGATATAGTTTCCACTGATCTTTGTTGGAGTGTGTCTTCTCCCAACAATAACCAGATGGGTTTTGGTTTTTAATCCAGTCTACTAATCTTTGATGTTTGAGCTTAAGCAATTTACAATTGGAGTTAAATATACATAGGTGGTACTTTGGTCCTGTCATTTTAGCAATGGTTTGTTCATTGATTTTGTCTTCTGTTGTCATTTTACTGGGATGTTCTTCCCGTTTGCCTTTGGTTTTGGTAGGTGCTATTTAACTTCTCTGTCAAGAGAACATCTTGAAGTATCATTTGTAGAGCAGGTTTGGAAGAGGCAAGTTCTTTTAGCTTTTCTTTACTCTGGAAGAATTTTATTTCATTTTCAAAGATGAAAGAAAGCTTTGCAGGGTATGTTATCCTAGGCTGACAAGTTTTTTCTTTTAGAATCTGGAATATGTCACTCCATTCTCTTCTTGCATGTAGAGCTTCCTGTGAGAGATCTGCTGTGAGCTTAATTGGCCTTCCTTTATATGTCAATTGATGTTTTTCACGTGCACATTTAAGATTCTTTTCCTTATGTTCAATTGAAGAGAGCTTGATGATCATGTGTCTTGGTGAAGATCGCTTTTGATCTAACCTGTTGGGAGTTTTGTGTCCCTCCTGGGTCTTATTTCCTAATTCTTTCTCCAGATTAGGGAAATTTTCCTTGATTATTTCATTAAATACATTTGCAAACTCAGCTTCTCTTTCTGCACCTTCCGGGACTCCCATAACTCTTATATTTGGCCTCTTAATAGTGTCTTTCAATTCTTGAATACTTTTTTTTGGCCTGATCCAGCTCTGCTTCCAGCTTTTTGTTTGCTTCCCCTTGGTGACAGGAGATATCTGCCAATTCTGATATTTTTTTCTTCTGCTTGCTTCATTCTATTTTGGAGGCTCTCCACTGTACTTGTAATTTGCTCTACTGTGTTCTTAATTTCTGATATTCCAGTTTTGATTTGCTTTACTGCTTCCTTAAATTCTTTGAACTCTTGCATTAACTTCTCATTTTTGACCAGAATCTTTAAAATGAGTCTTATGAATTCTGTGCCCCCCATTTTCTCAATGTCTTCTTCAGTTAACTCTGAGGTTGGCATAGTGTTTTGCTCCTTTGCAGGGGAGTTTTCAATAATATTCCTTGTTCCTTTGTCTCTTCTTTTGCTCTTGATCATTGTACTTCTGGTTAGCAGAGTGTTCTTCTTGGGGCAGCTTTCTAAGCTGTGTGACCCACAGGTCTACAATGCGATTTTACTATTGCAGTTGGTACACAACTTTTTGCTTGCAGCCACTTGTGCCACAACCTCCAGCGAGTTCCAGGTCTGGCTTCTTATGTCAGATATCCACTGTGGTCTCCACAGCCCCAGCTCTTGGCTCACCACTCTCCACCTCCTGTGATACCGTGCTGAGGCTGCACTGTTTTCTCTGCAACCTTTCTCCCTCTTCTGGTTGGAGTGGGTTCCAGGATTAAAGAGACACCAGGTGTACTATCTAGTTAGGTTATTGGTGGCGATAATCTTGTCGGAACTTGTTGGATATTAGGTCTGGGTGCCACACGGACCTGTTTTGACCCATACGATGCCACAGAGGTATTATTTTCCTGCGGGATCTCAGCGAGTTCTCACGAGCTCAGCACATGCGCAGCTTACTGTTGTCCCCTGCAGTCCCAAAGCTATTTGCCACAGTGCACAAAAAGGCGCCCGACGTGCTACCACAACAGTTCTTGATCTGCTGGCTGTCAGATCCGAGGGTTACCCAGACCTGTCCTGGATGGAAACCGTAGACTGCACGTTGTTGCAGTTCACCGAGTCAGAAATGAGCTCACTTCCCACTCAGAGTACACTCAGTCCTTTCCCTTGCCCTGTCCTCCTTAGGCAAAATGGCGAACAATTCAGCTCTAGGGGGCTGACTGGGCTATGAAATTCTTGTTGTTCTCACACTGCCAGCCTGGGATCTGCTGCTCTGTCTCTGCTCCTGGTCAAATCCATCAGACCAGCAGGACAGACAGTTCCCCGTCTGGGTTCACCTCCCAAGCTCCAAGTGAAAGTCCCTTCCCACCTGGTTGCTGGTGGAGTTCCGGCTGCTGGTGGAGTTTAGATCACTGTGCTGGAATATCATTCACTGCAACAGCACACTGCTGTACCCCTCTGCTGTTGTTCTGTCCTTTCGTATTTCCTGAAATATGTCCTCTTTGCTTCATTCTGGGTAAATGCTTCTCCGTCCGTTTAAACGTGTCCTTACCCTATTCCGCCATCTTGATACTCCGAATTGAGCTTTGTAATGAAGCTTTTCATCAGGCGGAAGAGCTTTGGTTCAGCGGCAGGGAGCTGGATTGCAAGTGCATCTGATGGAAACATCCCGGCCCCCATGAGGGATATCGGCTCCCAGAGTCAATACTTTGATCTTCATTTTCACTGTAATTTAAATGATGTTTTAAGCAATAAAGTACACTATCTTGGTAGCATGACAGCAACCTGAACATGTCCCTTGTCTTTTTTGTCCACATGCTGTTTCTTGCTAGGAAGACACCTGAGGTGATTCTATGGAAAGGAGAAAGAAAGAAAGAAAGAAAGAAAGAAAGAAAGAAAGAAAGAAAGAAAGAAAGAAAGAAAGAAAGAAAGAAAGAAAGAAACAAAGAAACAAAGAAAGAGAGAAAAAGAAAAAGAGAAAGAGAGAAAGAGAGAGAAAGGGAGAGAAAGAGAGATCTGTCTTTAGAACATGGAAATGATAATTTATTGATTAGTTTTTGTTTCTTTTTTGCAGTGTCTAATGGTTTGGAAAAGAATGTGGCGAGTCGCTACGTAATTCTTTCTGAGGATCTCAGATATCACATATTTGGAGAACACCGTGATGCTCCCAGTCAAGGCCCAAGAGCACAGAGTTTTGCTGCGTGGGGTGCACCGACCTTCCGCTCTGGCAAGCATTACTTCGAGGTGGATGTAGCGCACTCCTCCAACTGGATTCTAGGACTCTGTAGTGATTCCAGCATAGATGAGCCCGATACCATTATTAACACAGAGGGTGCATTTTTCCTTTATTCCGTGAATCATGGTGATGGTCACATCCTCCGCACCAGTTCTCCATTTTTACATCACTATGTGGAGAGGCCTGTGGGTCTGGTTGGGGTGTTTCTTGATTGTAAATATGGAATGGTGAGCTTCTATGATGTTTCCCAAAGTTCCCTCATACATTGTTTCCCTCCAAACGCCTTCTCCTACCCTCTGAAGCCCTTCCTTTGCATGGATACTCAATAAATTGTCAACTTTTATAATTGTTTTAGTTAACTGTCAGGGTGGATAATCTAACAGTGTTAAAATGTTTCTCATGGGAGACATCACAGTCTTTGTATGCCTTGTACCTAAGGGAGGGTAGATTAATTGTAACCACTGTATGTTGCTAAATTGGACAACCACATTGAATGTATGAAACTTTATATGAAATTTAACCTTAATAAAGAATATTATAACCAATGCTTGTCTGATTCTACTATCTGTTCAGCATCCCCTATAGGAATCCAACACCCATTGATGAGCAACAATTCTTAAAGGTCTCATATACAGGTGCTTTTGTCAAGAAATTGAGCCATCCTCCAATGTTTTGCTAGACCTTTTCAATAAAAATAAGTAAAACCTAAAATATAAAAAACATTCTGCATTTGGTCAGAAGTGCATTCTCATGGCAGAATTGCAAGGAGCACTTAGTTACTCTTAATGCACGTTGAGAGAAACTGAGAGGAAAAATTGGTGTTACCTGCAAAAATGGAAGTGTGCATGTATTTGAGACTTGTGGTCACAGTCCCATTGAAATTCATGTGAAAAAGCAGAATATGCTACATATAAGTATACGTGTTTTGGATAATGAACTTAAGAAAAGAATGGAATAAACAGGAATGTGTGGAATAAAAGACCCTCTCATAGTGGCACGGTGGCGTGGCCTAGCAGCCAAGTCCTCCCCTCGAATGCTCTGGGATCCCATATGGGCACCAGTTCTAATCCCGGCAGATCCACTTGCCATCCAGCTCCCTGCTTGTGGCCAGGGAAAGCAGTCGAGGATGGCCCAAGGCTTGGGACCCTGCACTGGTATGGGATACCCAAAAGAAGTTCCTGGATCCTGGCTTCGGATAGGCATTGCATCGGCCACTGCACTCACTTGGAGAGAGAACCATTGGACAGAAGATCTTCCTCTCTCTCTCTCCACTTGTCTATATATCTGACTTTCCAATAAATAGATAAATGTTAAAAAAAAAAGACCCTTTCATATTCTTAACAAGAAGAAACAAGTTCTCTCTCCCTTTTCTTTTTTGAAGATATCTTTACTATTTTGCCAAGTTGTATATATAGAGAGAAGGAGAGACAAAGAGGAAGATCTTCTATCCAATGAATCACTCCCCATGTGGTCTCAACAGCCTGACATGAGCCAATCTGAGGCCAGGAGCCAGGAGCCTCCCCGGGGTCAGTCACGCAGGTGCAGGTCCCGAGCTTTGGGCTGTCCTTGACTGCCTTCCCAGCCCACATGCAGGGAGCTGCATGGGAAGAGGGGTTACCAGATCAGAACCAGTGCCATATTGGATCCTGGTGCAGGCAATATGAGGACTTCAGTCACTAGCTTTCTGTGCCTTCTCCCTCTTTCTCACACACACACACATTTTCATATCTACAGAATAAAAGTGATTCCTTTGTTTTACTACAAAAATCATGATTCAGGATAAATGTAGCTAATGGAAGAAATCATTGTATTTCACACAGCATATACATTTTTTGTTTACTGAAAAGACACATTAACAGAAATAAGGAGAGAGAGGGAGAGAGAAAGATATTAAATTAGCTGGTTCATGCATAAGCGGCCACATCAACCAGAGATGAGCTGATCCGTAGCCTGGATTTCTTGTGCATCTCTCACGTGGATGCAGGTTCTGAAGGTTTTGGGCCATCCTCCATACTTTCACAGTCAAAAAGCAGGGAACTGGATAGGAAGTGGAATAGCTAGGACACAAAGAGGCATCCATATGTGATCATGGTGTGTGCAAGGCAAGGATTTAGACATTGAGTCATGGCATTGAGCCCGGATACAGACTTTATCATGGACTGAGTCTGAGTCAAGGAAGAAAAGCTGCTAGTTGTCAGGCAGCACTCAGCTCCCTAAAGGCTGATACATGAGCGGGAGACACATTGATATACTGAAAGCAAGACCTCAGATTTTGTTCAAGCTATGATGTTAGTTGGATTTGCTACCAGATTTCTTTGCCACTGATTTTCTATACTACAACATCACAACAGCCACAACAAAAACAACAGTATCATCATTGCACTGACATCCATTTTCCTTTCTATATTTTAATTATTTATTTTATTTCAACTGTTAATTTACAGAATTAAGCAGAGAGGGAGTGATCTTCCATCCACATGTTCACTCCACAAATGGAACCAATGGTCAGGCATGCACAAGTGTACTGGTGTCCAATGCTTTCAACCATTGTCAACTTCTTTCCCAGGACAGAAGCAGGATGCAGGATTCACAGTGTATAGGATGTGACAGGTATTAGAAGATGGAGTCCTCTCAGCCTGCTTCATCTTAGGAGGAAAATGGGAAAAGTTTCAGAACATTTGGGCTCCCATGCTTACCAGGGCTATCTTCCTATGGGGAACCAGCGTTTCTGATTCTGTCAAAATTATTTCCCTGGCATTCTTAAGGGATTCTACAGTAGTAATTCTGACCATCTGTAAAATGCTTTCCTTAACAATTAATTTTTTAATGTGACAATAAATGACTGTTCCAAACTTGTGTGGTATACTAAAATTTTTTTAGCATTATTTTGCTCTCTGTTTCTCATATAAATAAAGAAAATGTGCATTGGAAAAAAGCATGTAGTCTTACAATCCCAGAAAGGGTCACGTGACACTTTTCTGTTAGCTACAAGAACTTAGACTGTTTCACAGCATGATGTGTGGGTTGATGCCTTGTCATGACCAGGAATTTGATGGTTGGCAGGCATTGGGCACTCAGGCCAAACTTCCAAGGCATGGTAATCTTGTAATGATTAGTTAGCATGAAGATATGACATATAAATATTAGCTCAAATATGAATGAAATAAGCACTATAACAAATTAATTAGAACAATCAGTAGTCCAAGGCATTGTGTGTAAGGATAGTAGAAGTGGCTTTCACTTCTTGAAAGAAACATAGAAAGCTGCCAAAGATGGAGCTGGTTGGTAAAGTGAGGGTAAGAACTGCACTTAAGGAGAGGACAATCCTAAGTGTTCTTCTCTTGGCATATGGTTCAACTGAGGATGTGATGCTTTTCTTTGTTTCTTTAAAATTTAATTAGAGTCAGAGGGTAAGTATCCAGTGAGCAAAACGCATTGAATGTCAGAGTGCAGCAAGAGTTAAGGGAAAAACGGAGTAGGCCATTTGAGAAGAAGCTGAGGAGAAAGGACTGGGAATAAAAGTTGGAATTTACAGAGGTTTATTCAGAGAAGGCCTGAAGACCTAGGATGAAGGCCAGCATAGCAATAAGAGCAGGGTGAGAATCGTGGATGGCGAACATCACACAGGCACAACTGTCGCTTTTGGGTGTTTGGGCAGGGATGCAGAAGTGTGAGTCCACACAGAATCTCTGTGATGGACTGGAAGGATTAAGAAGACCACAGACATGACATGACCAATTATGAGGGTGAGATGCAAATGAAAACTTACTAGGTGAGCTTTGTGTGGGAAGAAAAGTATGGAATGTGGATGTGAGTCTTGGGCGAGTTTCCCAATCTCTAACAGCTGAAGCAGCTGGCATGTCATTTTCAGAGGTTCCTGCATTGCAGGCAGGGAGAATCCTTGAGGTGTGGCAGGTGGACAGAAGAGTTCACTCGTGAACATTCTCCAGAGCATAAGCAGCTAAGGATCTCTACAAAATTTTAGCAATGGATGGATTAATGGGATGTCTAGTACACCTGTGTGTTATATTTGCAAACTCATGAATCAAAAAATCCTTTCAATGTGATAATTTTTGTGGTACTCCTGTGTTGATGATTCAAAGAAGTATCACAGAAGATTCACAGAAGTATCACTGATTGAATATAATTTATACTGGCCAAACACACTTGCATTACATCTTGTTATTGCGAGTCTGAATCCCTACTACTTCACAGGCCCCAGCCCGGGAATCCAGAACTCAGCAAAGGGCCCATCACTGGGCTGATGGAGACGCTCAAAGGCTTCCAGGATGAATGCAGCCCATTCGTAGAAGTCCTAACGCCCTAACATCTCCTGGTCCGAAGCCAGGAGACTCCTCCAGGTCTCCCATGCGGGTGTAGGGAAAAGCTTTGGGCTGTCCTTGACTGCTTTCCCAGGCAACAGGCAGGGACCTGGAAGGGAAGCAGGGCTGCCGGGGTAGAATCAGTGCCAATATGGGATCCTGGGCATGCAAGACGAGGACCTTAACCACTTGTGCCATGGCCCCGGCCCCAGTCACAGTCATTCTTAAGGCCATTTATCATGCATCAAGTTCTTTACTTTTCCATATACAAAGATATAAAAATGTATTGGAAATATTGTTTTATTGTTAGAAATACTCCATTGCGAATCAGAAATATTGGTTGAGTATGACGATGATGATTCTAATAAAGAGAAAAGAGAATGGTTATGAAACCTTGTGGATTTTGAGCACTGACAAGAATGATGTTTATGTAGAATTAATGGGCAAGAGACTGAGAAAGACACATAATGAGAAAAACATTTGTGAGGGAACATGGGAGAAATGACTGGGTTTTGTTTTGACTTTCTCAGGGTCAATGCATGAGTATGTCAATTCAGTGAGAGAAGCAGTGAGAGTTACGCACCAGCAGATGCCTATTTGTTTCCCCAAGGAAGAGTAACATTTAATCATTTGATTGTATTACAAAAGCTAATTTACAGAACGAAGCAGTGAGAGAGAGGGATCTTCCATCCACATGTTCACTCCACAAATAGCACCAATGGCCAAGTGTCCCACGTGACTACAGGTGCCCAAAGCTACCACCTATTGTCAACTTCTTTCCCAAGTCTAAACCAGGACACAGGATTAGAAGCAGAAATGGTTGCAGATTAACCAGAAGGTGGAGGACGACTCTGATGCGGCACCGTGCCAGCCCCTGTGGTTCTGGGTCTCGTCTAGTCTCGCTCTCCATTCCCCTCTGCTTTATCCTCTCCCTCCACACCTGGGAGGTCAGTCCAATAGAGCATGTGAGCCACAGCACTCAGTCGTCTCGGTCTATGCAAGGCTTT